TCAATTCTAGCAGTAACCCCATAAATTAGGACCACTACTTTCTATTTTTTTATTTACTATGTATTCTACCTATTGGACTCGACATTAATTCAAACAAAACTGTTGTGAGTTCATACACATGATTCATATTCAAATCCACAAATTCAATTCAGAAAAAGTCTACACAACCTTCAACTATTCAGGGTGGACTACTTCACCCCAAACTATAAAACTGGATTTTCTACCATTGAACTTTCCAAACCGGTTAAATAACCCCAAGCGGTTTTGGACGGTGGTTTTGCTACAGAGACGGTAGTTTTGTCTTTTTCTTTTTATTTATTTTCTCTGAATTTTTTAAAAATCATAGTAAATCACAGAAAAATCATAAAATGGAAAAATCCAATTTTGTTAGACTCCACATGAGTAGATCTACACAGTGAACATATAATATAGTATGCTTTAGTATAAAGTTTTTGTTGTAGTTTTAGATCTATGCTTTTATGTAATTAAATGGAATAATTCATAGCTACAACTTCTGTGGTGAAATTTTTATGGTGGACAATTATTGTATGCGTGAATTATAGTTAAAATTTCATACTACATGATTCAGTGAGTATGAAATTTTTACTACAATTCAAGCATACAATAATTAGCCCACCATAAAAATTTCACCACAATTAGACCATAAAAGCTGCAGTTATAAATTATTCCATTTAATTACAGAAAAGTACAAATCTAAAGCTACAACAAAAACTTTATACTAAAGCATACCATATTATATGTTCACTGTATAGATCTACTCTTGTGAAGTCTACCAAAGTTGGATTTTTTATTTTGTGATTTTTCTGTGATTTACTATGATTTTTTAAATATTCAGAGGAAATAAATATATAAAAAAAGACAAAACCATGCCACTGTAGCAACCACCGTCTAAAACCGCTTGGGATGTTATTTGACCAGTTTTTAAAAGTTCAGGGATAAAAAATCTAGTTTTATAATTTTGGGGTGAGGTAGTCCACCTGAATAGTGGGGTACGTATACTTTTCCAATTCAAATTTAGACGACATTGTATATGACATTACATAGTCAGTCTCTTCGTGCAATTCCGCCTCTGGTCGTGCTCGGGTGGTTCCTTCGACGATCACTACTTCATTTAGGCACTTTGCCAGGACGAATCATGGACGGTGAACCGTGGACAACTTACATGTGTCGGCGCTCAGCGCCCCATCAAGTTCAACTTCAAGTAAACAAGGTGCGATTGTAAAGCACTGATGGGTTGGATTAGATTGTCTAAATTGTCGGGTATGCTTTATTTCTGAATTCCTTAATCCAATTCAATGATCTGATTTGAGTCATCTAATATGTTCTTGTTTTTTTTTCTTTAGGGGTTTGGTCATTTGGATTTAGTAACAGTGGAATAATGTGCCGCCCTGAAGACCACATATGAAGGGCAGGTCTGGTGCAGTGGTGAGAGCTGTCTCACTGAGTCATCAGGTCACGGGTTCGAAGCAGCCTCTCCACAGATTTTACGGAGAGAAGTGAAAGCTCTAGTTTGATTTTGGTGAATTGATGAAACCCTAAGTGCTAACCTAGTTCATCAAGTGATCATGAGATAGGTAGCACATTCCAAGTGGTGAAGCAAATAAAGATCATAACATGATGATGGTGATGCCATGGTGATGATCAAGTGCTTGACTTGACAAGAAGAAAGAGAAAAACAAAAGGCTCAAGGCAAAGGTATAAATGGTAGGAGTCATTTTGTTTTGGTGATCAAGACACTTAGTGAGTGTGATCATATTTAGGATCGATAGTCGTACTATTAAGAGGGGTGAAACTCGTATCGGAATACGGTTATCAAAGTGCCACTAGATGCTCTAACTCATTGCATATGCATTTAGGATCTAGTGTAGTGCTAACACCCTTGAAAATATTTGTGAAAATATACTAACACATGTGCACAAGGTGATACACTTGGTGGTTGGCACATTTGAGCAAGGGTTAGAAACTTCACCGACGGAGTATCCGCCCGTAGAGTGCGGACAGTCCGACGGTGCCACCGGCGCCCTAGACAGAAAAGGCGGAGGTCACTGTAAGTGACCGGACGCTGGTCTCGGTAGGACCAGCGCGTCCGGTCAGGTGGAGCATGAAGACGCTGGCGTCAGTCTCTGACCGGACGCTGGAGGGGTGCATCCAGTCCTACTGATGTGGCAGCGCACAGAAGAGTCACCGTGTGACCGGACGCTGGGTGAGTCCGGTCGAGCATGACCGGACGTGTCCGGTCGTGAAAAGTCGTCTCTGGATGCTTACTGGAAACGACCGGACGCTAGGGTTCAGCGTCCGGTCACTTTGAGCTGCTGCGTCCGGTCGTCACTTAACCGTTGAGATCGGGCGATCAATATTTGTAGAGAGGGGACATGTGGCACACATCGCGTGACCGGACGCTGAGGTCCAGCGTCCGGTCACCCCGCGTTGTGCCCAGTGAAGGAGTACAACGGCTCTATATCATGGGGACTTCTATTTAAGCCCCATGGTCGATTCAAGCTCACTCTCTTGGCCATTTGCATTGACATAACAACCTTGTAAGCTTAGTCAAAGCCCTCCCACTCATCTTCATCATAGATTCAACATCTTTGTGAGATTGAGAGAGAATCCAAGTGCATTGCTTGAGTGTTTGTATCTAGAGGCACTTAGTGTTCGTGTTTCGCTGCGGGGTTCGCTTGTTACTCTTGGTGGTTGCCGCCACCTAGACGGCTTGGAGTAGCAAGGATCGTCGAGTGAAGGTTGGTGATTGTCTTCGGCTCCGATCGTGATGATTGTGAGGGGTTCTTGACCTTTCCCCGACGGAGAGCCAAAAGGTACTCTAGTGGATTGCTCGTGGCTTGTGTGATCCTCATCTTGTGTTGGTTGTGCGGCACCCTATTGAGGGTTTGGCGTGTGATGCCAATTAGCGCGTGAACCTCCAAGTGAGTGAATCGCCACAACAAGGAGTAGCTTGCCGGCAAGCAAGTGAACCTCGGTAAAAAATCATTGTGTTCATCCTTTGATTCCGAGGTGATTAGTCTTCATTGTTATTCATTCTTGTGATTGATTGGCTCCTTCCTCGACACGGCGGTATAACCTTCTTACTCACTCTCTTTACATTACCGCAAACTAGTTGTCAGGCTCTTTAGTGTAGCTAGTTGTGAGGGCTTGTTAGTTTGATTAGTGTGGCTCTTTAGTTAGCCTTTGAGAGCATACTAACTTAGTGTAGTGACATAGCTATTGTGTGGATAGAAACTATATCAACTAGAATTATGGTAGGTGGCTTGTAATTTTAGTAGGCTAGCGCAACACTTGCTTCGCCTTATAATTATCTAATCGGTTTGCTAAGTGTTGCTGTAGAAATTTTTATTAGGCTATTCACCCCCTTCTAGCCATTAGGACCTTTTAGGAAGGCTTGCCTTGGTTTTTCCTTCCCTAGACCCCACTCGTGTGGGAGCCTCTGGCACTGAGTCTGCTCTGAAGACCTCGTATCTTATTGTGACCCAAAGACATTTGCTTACAAAGCACTGAAGCATTATTATCTTATTTGAGGTAATCATAATAGTTTTTTTAGTTTCTTCTTGTAGTATCCAACTTTGTATTTATCAATTTAATATATGTTACAAGTAGTACCACTATATGCTTTATTTATTTATTATAAATGAGAAATGTCTAGCCTAAATAAAGGGCCTATAGTCTCATGTTCGCTCAAGGGTCCACAAAACTATAGAGATGACATTGGTCTCCACCTTGCGCTCCTCCAGTGGGACCTTGCGCGTTTGTATCAATCATCTTGCTCCTTCCATCTCTCTCCCTTCAATTTTTATTTTTCCAAAATGAGGTTTTGAAGAACCTCTCTGTATGGTCCTTCATCCCCTCCACCCCTCAATTTCTCCTTCGCCTCCTCCCTACCCATTGGTCTCTTCTTCGCACTTGGCATGGTTGAATCAAGAGTGCCACTCTTGCCACTTTGCCTCATATTAGGGTCATGGGAAGGTGTCAAGTTGCGTGACGTGTGGGGCCCACACATCAGCGAGTGGACAGGGGTGTTTTTTTTTGTCCATATGGAAGATGTGTACGCGTATACTGCTTGACAGTGGGCCTAGGCATCCGAAGACGTAGAAAATAGCAAAGATCAGGTATAACAAGAATTATAATTGCGCGTTTTAGAATAGATGAATTGCAGTGGCAGATCTCAGAACTTCGAAAATTATAATGGCATGGATCAAGGCTCCATGCCACGTTTAACCGCCATGCCATGTTTTTTTTTTCTCCGTTGATCATCCGTCCGTATGACCTATGACCTATCAACATGGCCAAGGCTCCAAGGTCTACCCGTTCATCCGTTGGTTAGGCCAAAGCGAGGTCTAAACAACTTGCTCGAGGTGACCTGTGTTTAACCGTCATGCCATGTTTTTTTTTCTCGGTTGATCATCCGTCCTATGACCTATAACCTATCAACGTGACCAAGGCTCCGAGGTCTACCTGTTAATAAGGTACTGTAAATCCTCAAATAGTTCCCCAAATTGATCAAGCTTGATAAACTTAACAGTGCCAGATCGAGCCTGGTATTCCATGGGGTTTGACTTTCTCGCCCAAGTCCCAAGTAATAAGCGACACCCCTCCTCGACATGGCGGCAACAAACCCTCAGCTGCAAAGAGATCGCCCCCAGTGTGTTGCATTGCATCTGTTTTTTCAAGTAATTAGCCAGCAACACAACAGGTAATTTCTTCAATTCCATCCATCATAAAGCATGAGCACTAAGGAGAATTTCAGGAATTGTCAAATCATTATTAGAGTTCACAAGCTCATACCATGTACCATAACATTATTACATAGCTTTTGTCAAAGTTCGACCCACACAGATAGATGACAGAGACATACAGAAATCTGTAGACCATAGCTGGAGAGTTCATCAGCTTTTATTATTACAGAAATCTGTGACCATAGCTGGAGGGTTCGGTTTTTATTATTATATTGATGTTATATAAAGGAAATCCTACTCCTGAGATGCCACCTTGGAGAGCAGGAGTTTATAGCGGTTCAGAACAGATTTCAGGTCTTTCTTCTCCCTGCCATAGGCTTCAGCGTGCTTCGCACTAAATATGGTGGCCTCAACTTCCATCAGCATCTCCAACACAGCTTCTACACTGATACGTTTTCCATCGGCCATTCTCACACTTCTCGCACCAGGAACGGTTTTGGTGCATGGACATATGGAAACAGGTTGAACAGGCTTCAAGAATGCTGGATCCAGAATACCCTGTACAAGTGGTAGAAATCAGTAAGCTGGTCACCAACACAATGATAATATTGTTTAGCTGAAAATGGGCCCATTTTTAACGATGTCAGCAGGAGAGATCCCTATCAATTTCTCTGATAAAAATATATACAAACAGAAGTTACATGTACATAGGTGCAAGCTCAAAAGAAAATACTAGCTATTGAAACTAAATAAAAAGATTTAAACCAATTCTCCAGCAACGACTTAACAGATGGTTTAGCTCTTTGAAAATGGGTCCATAGTGAACCAAAAAGTTCAAATACGAAGAAAGAAATACTTGTGAAATTTATAATCCTATATGTGTGTCACAGAAGAGGAAAGAACGGTATTTACGATTTTTTGCCAACATTTCAGCCTCATACTGAATGCTATTAATGAATGCATACATATCTGTTAGTGAACTATTTTTTCCCATTAGGGAAAGTTAACTACATTGCTGAGGACGACTCGGAAGACGAAGGCAACAAAGGTGCTCAGCTAGAGGAGTGCTAGAGCTGGCATGGTTATGTCTTCCTTCCAATGGCGTTTGTACATATTCTATAATAGTTTCCTGGTCGTTTGGTTTGGCAGAATTCGTGTTGTGCAGGTATGTCCCTCCAATGGTTGGCAGTAATAGGCAGGTTGCTGGTGTCGAGGCTGAAGTGATCCCTGCAGACCTGGGGGGAAGACCAAGGAAGAAGGCGATGAGGTCCCTCAACATCATTGATGAGCATGGAAGTTTGACTCAACAGGCCCAAGACGAGTATTTCAAGCTGTTTGGGCGGCCACTCTAGGATTCTCATCTCCAGGCTCTAACTGCATTGTTTAACTGGTCTCTCCCTGAAGATTTGGAGTCTGGGATTGAGGAGGTGCTGGTGATGTAGGTCTGTTCTGAGTCAGTTCTGTGGTCGTTCTTTATTTGTGATCAATGGATCCATCAAAAATTCTGATTTGTAATGTGAGGGGTTTAAATTCTACCTCTAGACAAGATGCAGTGCGTTCTCGGGTAGTCTCTTCTTGTGCAGATATTGTTTGCGTTCAGGAAACCAAGATCACAGCCATGTCTCAAAGGGTCATTTTATCTACCCTCGGGTCTGATTTCACAGGACAGTTGTCTCTGCCATCAACCGGGGCTAGTGGTGGTATTCTTGTTGCTTGGAGGCGTCATGTGGGAGTCTCTGGTGCTCAGAGGGTTGACAGATTTAGTACGTCCATTCAATTCTCCGCGGATAATGGACACGCGTGGTGGCTGACCTGTGTTTATGGACCGCAGGGGAATGGGGATAAAATTCAGTTTCTACAGGAGCTTCGTGACATCCGGGCTGCCTGTCCTGGGCCTTGGATGATAGCAGGGGATTTCAATTTGATTTACAAAGATGAGGATAAGAATAATGCCAACTACAATAGAGCTATGATGGGTCGGTTTAGGCGTTTCATTAATGATATGGCCCTCAAAGAAGTTTCCCTCCATGGTCGCAAATACACTTGGTCTAATCAGCAAGACTCCCCTATTCTGGTTAAGTTGGACAGGGTTCTCTGTTCTGTAGACTGGGAGGATAAATTCCCTAATTGCTTCCTCCAAAGTTTGGCGTCAGAAGATTCTGATCACTGCCCTCTTCTGTTGGGGCTTCAGGATAACAAAGTAGGAAGGCGCAGATTTCATTTTGAGTCCTTTTGGACCAAGATGGATGGGTTTCAGGAGGTGGTAGCCGCTGCATGGACGTCAGTTCCTACTAGCTCTTGCCCCTATTTAACTCTAAGCCAGAAATTTAAAGCAACCGCTAAGGGATTACAGAGGTGGAGTAGCAAAACGGTTGGTAATGTGAAATTTCAGCTTGCCTTGGCACGGGAAATCCTTCATCAATTTGAGATAGCTCAAGATAATCGTCCCCTATCTCCAGGAGAATTGTGGTTGAAAAACAATCTGAAAAAGCACAGCCTTGCTCCTTCTTCCTTTAGTAGAACTATTGATAGGCTGCGATCACGTATTGGATGGCTCCGGGAAGGTGATGCCAACACCAAGCTATTTCATTTGCATGCCCGTCATAGAAAGAGAAAAAAATTTATTGGTCATCTCATCTCCGGGGACCGTGTTTGTACAAGCCACCGGGACAAAGCTGAAGTGATTGATAATTTCTATGAAAATCTGCTTGGGAGTAGTTCAGACAGGCTACATACTGTCAATTTAGCTGAGATTGGAATCAATTCACAGGACTTGGCTGTTTTGGATCTTCCTTTTAGTGAAGAAGAAGTATGGAAGACAATTCTGCAACTGCCATCAGATAAAGCCCCTGGGCCGGATGGCTTTACAGGTCGTTTTTACAAATCCTGTTGGCCGGTTATAAAGGAGGATATCATGGCTGCAGTTTCAGCGCTTTGGAGCAGGAAGTTCATGAATTTTGAATCTCTCAACTCAGCCTACATTACTTTGCTTCCCAAGAAGGTTGGTGCGGATCAGCCCAAGGATTTTCGACCTATTAGCTTGGTGCATAGTTTTGCTAAACTTATCACTAAGATGTTGGCCAATCGGCTTGCTGATCATCTACAGCAAATGGTGTCACCAAATCAAAGTGCGTTCATAAAAGGGCGCTTCATACAGGATAATTTCATGTTGGTACAACAAACAGCCAGATATCTTCATCAACAAAAGCAGCCCCGCATACTTCTTAAATTGGATATTTCTAAGGCATTTGATTCAGTTTCCTGGCCCTTCCTCTTGGAGGTCCTACAGCACCTGGGCTTCGGGCAAATCTGGAGAGATATAATTTGTGGGCTGTTATCCTCCTCGAGCACTCAAGTTTTATTGAATGGGATTCCTGGAAAATATATTTCCCATCGACGAGGGCTGCGGCAAGGTGACCCCCTTTCTCCCATGCTCTTCATCTTGATCATAGATGTTTTGGGGCACTTGATTGCCCAAGCTGCAAGGGAAGGTCTTCTACAGCCTCTCTCGGCTGGAAATATGCAGCACCGAATTTCTTTATATGCGGATGATGTGGTGCTCTTCCTCCGTCCAGTGGCTAGCGACATTTCTGTAACAATGGATATCCTTAAAATTTTTGGTGAAGCCTCAGGCCTGAACACTAATCTTCAAAAGAGCAGTGTTCTCCCAATTAGATGTGGTGACTTGGAGTCGACAACCATTCAAAATTTGCTGCCCTGCTCCCTTGCTGAGTTCCCTTGCAAATATCTAGGTTTGCCTCTGTCCTTGAAAAAGCTAAGCAAAAGTCAAGTGCAACCCATTGTTGACCGCATTGCTGATCAGTTGCCGGGTTGGAAGGCGGAGTTGATGACAAGGGCAGGAAGGAGGATTCAGGTTCAATATGTGCTTACTGGTATGATGGTATATATTGTTATGGCATCAGATCTTCCAACTTGGGCTATCAAGGCCATTGACAAAATAAGGCGTGGTTTTCTTTGGCGTGGCCGCAAGGAAGCAAGGGGAGGACATTGTCTTGTAGCTTGGGTGAAGGTTTGCCGCCCAACTGAACTTGGAGGGTTAGGTATTTCAGATTTAAAAACGCTTGGTTGGGCATTGAGAATGAGATGGTTGTGGTTGCAGAAAACAGAGCCAAACCGCCCCTGGGCGCATCTCCCTATTCAGGTCCCTGACCAGGTGAAGGCCTTCTTTGCTGTGGCTGTTATCACCGCAGTTGGTAATGGCGAGCACACCCTGTTTTGGACTGACAGGTGGCTGTATGGTCAATGCATCGCAGATTTGGCTCCTCGACTGTTTGCTGTTGTTTCTAAAAGAAAGATCAAACAGCATACAGTCAAGGAGGCACTTAATAACCGGGCTTGGATAGCAGACATTCAAGGGGCTATTACTGTTGGACTGATAATTGATGTGTTCCAGTTGTGTGATACCCTTTCAGGCATTGTTTTGCAACCTGGAAAGGGGGACAAACATATCTGGAAGCTTTCATCTAATGGCCAATATTTGGCTAAGGCGGCATATGAGGGTTTGTTCTTGGGAGCTACTCTCTTTGAACCATGGGAAAGAATTTGGAAGACTTGGGCGCCACCAAAATGTCGGTTCTTCATGTGGATAGTGGCCCACAACAAGTGTTGGACATCTGACCGCCTTGCACGACGTGGAATGCCTCACCCAGATTATTGTCCGCTGTGTGATCAAGAAGAGGAATCAATCAGCCATCTCCTTGTGGAATGTGTATTCGCCAGGGAATTTTGGTTCATTTTGCTTCGGCAGGTCGGTCTCCAGGCTTTGTCTCCCCAACCTACTGATTCCTTCATGGACTGGTGGGAGAGAGCTAATAATGCTACTTCTGATATGGTGAGGCAAGGAGTTAATTCCCTAATTATTTTGGGGGCCTGGACTCTTTGGAAACATCGCAATCGCTGTGTCTTTGATGGAGCAGCTCCAAGTGTGGTTGGGGCTGTTGTAATGGCCAGTGAAGAACGTCGGTTGTGGACCAGTGCAGGGGCTCAAGGGCTCTCCCTCTTGACCGCCCATCTCCCAGGTGATTAGTTCCTGGGATCTCTGCAGGTCGCCTTCAACCAGCCGAGCTGCGTTTGTGCCTTGGCTGGTGTAGCTTGTGTCGTGTGTGTGTGTGTTTGGGGTGTTTGTAAGTCTGGGTTCTTGTACCCTCTTTTCTTCTTAATACAATGAGACGCAGATCTCCTGCATTCTTTCGAAAAAAAAAAAGTAATAGGCAGGTTAAGTCTAACATCCGAGTCAGGTGCTATATTCTTTTGCTCTAGACTGTGGCCTTGGTTTTCTACTGATCCTGGTCCATTCATGCATTTTTTTCTGTAAACGATTTCCATTCGTTAATGCAAGTGGGGACTATCCCGCATCGAAAAAAAAAAGATTAAGCACGGTCAAGGACCTACACTTATTGCACCTGGGATTTATATCATATCATAATGGTGACCCTTATAATTGAGCAAGTTCACCGTAATTCGGCTGAATAAGCTAGTAACAGGAACCATCTTTCTAGAATGCACAATTATTTTAATATAGCAATCATTTTAATTAAAAAGAATACTCAGATCATAAACTTTCGTGTTATTGGTCATTGGTGTCAAACCAGCTTTACAGTTTCACAAATGCAAGCTATGCTGTGACTTTGACTTTGGAAACCAAAAACAACAGCAAATTTACTGAGTGCAATATTTAATCCACCAGAAATCCAAAAACCTTGGTCTTGTCTACTCATTTTCATTTGTTTTCATGATCCACCACTAATTCCTAAACTCCGTTGATTATCTTCAAAATACGGAGGTTGCGTGCAAGACAAATTTGGAGAAAACACTGATGTAATTTTCTTATGCATACATACAGGCATAATTGAGACCTTTTTAAACCGATTTTCAATAAAAAAATAAAGAACACTTGTAAACAAAAGATGAGAGTTTTACCTGAAGGCGATTGAGAACCCTACTATACTTCCCAAAAAGCAAAGGTTCCTTTGCCGAAAGAAGCACTTCAAATATTCTAGAAATGCACCAAACACCAAAGCTAATAAGGAGAGTAGGTAGCCACATACATCCATCTCCACAACCAAGGGTTGAGGTGCACAGGTTGAATATTTTACCATCAGGATCAACTACTGCATTCGGACAGAATACCCCGCTTGGATGTATATCTCCAAATATCACCATTTCAGCAGCCAAGCCTACTAGCTTCTCATCATACCCACCTCTGTTATCAATCAGCCAATCAGCTTTCTTAATATGCGATATATTCAGAATACAAGCCCGAAAAGAAGTCAAGAGTAGCCCTTTCAATTCATTGTAGGAGAAATAAACATTTGTCTTGGAAGCCTGTTGAGCTACTTGCTGTGATGGACATTTTTTAACCAAAACTTCCATTTTGTTCAGCTCCTCCAATGGACTTCCCATGCCAATGGGAACTTCATATTGTACTTGATCATTTTCCATAGCAAAATATGATACTTCCTCATCCTTCAATAGACTAGGATCCTCCGTGAGGAATGAGTCCATGATGCGCTTTCTGAACGCCACAACAGCAGGCAATGTGCAATTTCCATGTTCAGGGCACATGTTATTACCTCCAGGTAGTACATCAAAATAGCACGGGCAGCTTTTGATCTCCTCAACATCCAGCCCAATAAGAAGGTCCAACCTTATGGCATTACCTTTTTCTGTCAATTTACCATGCAGGTCAAACAAATTCCCCCAGAAGTCATCAAGAATGTCAGCAAACTGGTGGTGTGAAGGAAAAAACACTCGAACTTTTGATTTCATCCTACTAGCATATTCATTACAAAATCTCACAGTGTCGTTTATCTCTTTACGTCTTATGGATATCAATTCAGCAACTTGTTGACTTAAGGCAGTAGAAACAGCATCCCTTACAACTTCTCCATTAGCAAAACCTTCAACAGCAAGATAATTTATCATGGCAAGCATATTCTTGACTGAATGGGACTCAGAAGTTGAAGCTTGTCTATAAGGAAGAATGAGATTCCTTGCATTACATTCATGCTCAGAGAGGAAAAGTGAATCATGGCATGAAACAGAATCAGTAGTGTCAACATGTAAGGCCTCAGAAACAGGAGCTTCTTTACCAACAGTTTGACCCAAATGATCCTTAGATTTCTTGGACAAGGGTGTCTCTCCGATGTCAAATGTTTCATCCTGCTGATCGAAGACCATGACTTGCTCTTGTAAAGTAGTTTCATATTCAGAGGCCAGAACTGGGTCATGCCCAATTCCCACCATTTTGATAGTATCTTCTAATTCTCCAAGTAAATGATCTGTTAAGGGGTTCCTTTTGTTGCCAACTTTGTAATCATGACCATTTTCCAACAAGACCTGTGAGCATATTTTCTCATCTACTGAAGTTCTTGCAGGCCACAATAGATTGAATGCCAGATATATTGAAAAGTCAAAGCACAGCAGAACAAACAGCACAAGAAATATGTCAGGGAGTCTCATGAGCTCAGCAAACTTGCAGTCCCTCTTAGTTACCAGTGCCCCAATGATTGCAGCATTCATGGCAACTGATATAGCCATGGTAGTCAAGATAAGGATCCTCATAAACAGGAAACACTTTGAGGTGCCCATGAGAGACAGCAAGGATAGTGCACAAAGTGAGTTGTATGAGGGTGGCAACCGTGCTACAACGAGGCAATGAATGAAGAGAAGCAATATGTAGATCTCCTCTGAGCCTATGCAGTGCAGAAATCACAATGCTGGAATTGTTTTGTAAGTTCAGAACTATGAACCAGTGGGTGCTACCTTGGCGATAGGCCAAGATAAAGCTGGTCCTAAGTACTGCAGACAGGCTGGAATGGAGAAAGCCACACTGGTCAATATATCTGCAAAGTAGCAAATAAACACAGGTTATTTCATATAAATGTACTGGAATCAAACATGTTGCATCTCAAAACACAGTATGACTGTAGCGGTATTTAAAAATTCAACCCTGGAGAATAGCCTCCCAAGGCATTATGATTAATAAGAAGCCTCAACCACAGGGCCACGAAAAAACCCTGAACCGCGGCTTCACCCTGTAGGGCCGCACCTTGGCCGACCACAACATTCTGAGCTGGTGACCACTGCAAATACCCTTTGTTAGGAGGGCCCAAAGGCCCAAACCAACCACAAGCGCCACAGGCCAGCGCCCAGACACTGTTTCTTGGGTTGCTAGCGAGGGGATTTTTTCGGTTGCCACGGCCAGTCTCTGCCTCAACTGGGGAGCTTATCGCTACAGTCTACAAGAGTGTTGGCACTGTAGCAGTATTTACATAATCTCAGCCAGAAAGCCAGAGCAAATATAACCAAAATATGAATAGACTAGCCTTCTGTGAATATTGTTGGCAAGTGAACATTCATTATGACATATATGCCACCCATGATGTTCTAGTAAGCATGTATACATCTAGTTCACTTGGTAGTTTGACATCTGAATTTTCTGACACCCCAAACTGAAGAACAAGACATGTCTCCCCCTCCCCCCTCCCCCGCGCCGACCACCATGGCCCCCAACTCTTAAGGAAACCGTCCACACGAGCAGCAAGGGGCACTGGCAACATCTTGGCCCTAACCATCACACCAACTTTGGCTACAACCTCGAAAATTCTCCTCTAACACCGCAAACTGAAGAAGAAGAAGACATGTCTCCCCCTAACCCCCCCCCCCTCCACATGTGCCGACTGCCATGGCCCCCAACTCTGAAGGACAGCATCCTCGCCGGCAACAAAGTGGGTACTAGCGACATCTTTCCCCTAACCCTCACACCAACTTTGGCTACAACCTCCGAAATTCTCCCCTGACACCGCAAATTGAAGAACAAGACATGTCTCCCCCTTAACCCCCACACACACATGTGTCGACCGCCATGGCCCCCAATTCTTAAGGACACCGTCCTCGCCGGCAACAAGGGGTACCGGCGACATCTTGCCCCTAACCCTCACACCAACTTTGGCTGCCTCCGAAATTCTCCACTTGACACCGCAACTGAAGAACAAGGCATGTTTTCCCCCCCCCCCCCCCCCCGCCCGACCGCCATGGCCCCCCCCAACTCTTAAGGAAACCATCTTCATGGACAACAAGGGGCACGTGCGACATCTTGCCCCTAACCATCACACCAACTTTGGCTACAACCTCGGATTTTCTCCTCTAACACCGCAAACTGAAGAAGAAGACATGTCTCCCCCTACCCCCCTCCTCCACATGTGCCGGCCGCCATGGCCCCCAACTATGAAGGACAGCATCCTCGCCGGCAACAAAGTGGGTACTAGCGACATCTTGCCCCTAACCCTCAAACCAACTTTGGCTACAACCTCCAAAATTCTCCCCTGACACCACAAATTGAAGAACAAGACAAGCCTCCCCTAACACCCCCCCCCTCCACACACACACATGTGTCGACCGCCATGGCCCCCAATTCTTAAGTACACCGTCCTTGCCGGCAACAAGGGGGTACCGGCGACATCTTGCCCCTAACCCTCACACCAACTTTGGCTACAACCTCCGAAATTCTCCCCTGATGAACTAGCCCCATGACATATGTGCAAGAAATTTAGATCACATCAGATCCAAGAACACATGAAAAAAATTGGTAGCTTTTTAGAAAGATGCCATGAAAAACAGATCTTGTTTTCGATTGGAATCAATAGAGATTCAACCTGCTTTGTACAAATCAAATATGGGGAGAAGTTTACCTGCCAAATCCAAAACCTTCTTGGGATCAGGCTAAAGGAGTGCTGGAAGCTCCTCGATTCCGCCCCCCTTTTCTTCGATGGTATATGAGGTAGTATGCCACAGCGGTCGCCGGTGGGTATAAATGGGGAATTTTCCTTTGGAGTAAACCTTTCCCCGTATAAATCCATCGGCAACCACCATATTTTTTGCAGAAAAGCCCAACAATATACGGAAATGTTATATAAGTAACATACACACTTATAAAACTTGAATATATAATCCCACATGAAAATGAGCTCGAAACGTATTTTCCACATACCATACAGCTCTTAGCAAAATGATTGCAAATAAATCAAAATGGATGATACTGCACTTTCAATGACCTATCAAAATTTTTCCATGAACAAAGAGCTGGATATGAATACCATTTGATCAAAAACAAAATTTAGATGGTATGAATTCAAGAAATTTAGATGGCAAGGTCGGCCAAAACTGACACTTGGGGAAGAAGTAAAGGGGGACTTAAAGGAATGGAATTTATCCCAATATAATTGATGTTAGCAAAAAAGCGCATGGAGATTAGTAATCCATGTGCCAGAACTATGGCCTATGATATTGATATTTCATTTACTATTATTTTCTACTAGAAATACAAATACTGTTTTAATTTGCATATGTAATTATCTTGTTTTTAGCTCCTGTTAGTGTTCATCTTTAGCCTACGTAAGCTTGCTTGGGACAAAAGGCTTTGTTGTTGCTGTTGTCATCGTCGTCTTGAATATGAATATCAGAGGAAAGTGAGTCGAATGCACACTCGATCTAATCTATATATAGTCAGTTTTACACACAACCAAAAAAAAACTATGTAACAAGTGGCACAGAACATTAGGATGCAAATTTAGATTTGTTAACAAGGTTTTAGCTTTTGGATCTATATTTTTAGAATTTAAATTACTAAATGATGCATTTTTGGTGTGGCAGTTTTTTCCTTCTTTTAACAAGGATGTACAGCAGACACTTACTAAATCTCGGCTACATGATATTAGAACCAAAAGAAGAATGTTCCAGGATACATGGAAGAAAAAGGTATAAAAAAATGGCACGGAACATCCAAGAAGGCAAATCCAAAAAGGCTTTATCGATCCATCTCACACCTGTATTTGTTGTCAGCTTGCCAGATCCAAATGGGTCAAAAAGAAAATAAATAAAAGATAAAACCCCACAAAAATGAAGAGTTAGTTTTTCTCTAGTATCATTTGGTAGCTAAGAAAGTACTATATGTATGAGGTGTTAAGCAGGCAGAGTGTTAAACAAAACTCCATATTTACAGATCATGCTATTGCACATTACAACAGTATACTGCCTTTCACAAGATAGCATCCACCATGCAACATTGAACCTTTCATTTGTCAGCATGCCTATTTTGCAAGATTATATATAGTATTCCTATCTTCCATCCATTCCAAAATAAATGATAGAATAACAGACCTTCTGTGTGTAATGTCCTTTGGAGTTAATTGTAAATGTCAAAGAGCCACGCATACAGCCAATGAATATTGTTTCATATAAAGAAAAGGGAAACATCAATTACTAGCAAGTAGTACTTAATGCCAGTTAGCTACAGTTTGAGAGAGGAAAGCACTAAAAAGAGTAACCTCTGAAGAAACCCATGAGGGTAACTCATGTTTATGCAGAGAAAAACAAACATTACCGTGGCTATATGTGGTTAAGAAATATACTCTAAACTTATGGATCACTATGCAAAGGTGAATTTCTTTCAGAAAAGATTGTGTAACATATATCTTTAGGAACTGATGTCAAAGAACCAGATTGCTTACATAGTTGTTTATCTAGTCAGTACATATGCCTTCCCAGAGAAAAGAGAAAATTGGTGCTGTAGCACCAAAAGATCATGAGATTTTTTTTTTTTGAAAGGAGATTAACTCTGCTTTTAAGAAAGCAATAAGAGTTTTACATACTGGTGTTCCCAGTTTGCGATAACGCGAAAAGGCAAAACAGATAGCATCCATGCAGAACTACTTAAAGGCCTAGACAAAGTCATAACGCTATTACAGGATAGCAACATCTGAATTAAAAGATCATGAGATCTAGAAAATACCACCAAAGAACTCGGTTACCTGAAATACCACACAAAGATTTGAAGTTAACTCAATGTAGTACTCTGCTACGTTTTGACAGAAGCGACTTGAAAAAAAATATACACCCAGACCGTAACGCGAGGTCGCCCGACGCAGGGAACGCGGGTCGCTGGCGTGGTGGCGTGCGGTCTCGCAGCTGCCTGCATTGTGGCGGCGCGATGAAGGAGGAGAACGAGGCGCGGCTGCTGAGCAGCCAGGATGGACGCGGACATGGACGACCTAGTAGAAGTCTCATGCCCTCAGAGGATTTGGACGATTTGGGGGTAACTGGAATTTCTCACTAGAACGGGGCGGCGTTGTGTGTCGCGCCTGCCTTTGGATGGCCACTGTAGGATTCGGTTTGTGCAGTAGATAAAATTGCCTTCTGTGTATATATGAAGCGACCCAGTTATACTAATCATGGTTATGATTTAGTAAAAGGTAAATAAAAAACAACAGATACGAGATTGAACTTGTTGGGTGTTATCTAAACACTGTGTCCACCAGGAAATCAAAACTAACTCTGAAAGATGTAGATGATAAATTAGAGAGCCTAGAAAGGGAAAGGAACAAGACACCAGAACAGATCTGCAGAATAGATGGTAACATGTACATATGTTTTGTGCAGTTTTGGACTCATCTATGTAAGAAAAATGCGTCGTTTGTTAATATTTAATTTTTATATCCTTTTAGAACCTATATTTGTGAAATTGCTTGGCTTATAGAAAACATGGTGCCTAAGTGCAATCGTGCATAATTAGAAAGGCGCGCGAATTTGCCGCGCAGTGCTCGTAGTATTATAGTTGATATAGACTTTATTTCATCCATAGAGTAATAATAATTGTATGTAGGTAGATGCACACTTTTTTTAAGCAACATAGGTAAGATAAATCCGTGGCTTCGTTATTTTCACATAGGTGTCATGGTTTGTAACCTGTTGTTATGAAGGTACTATTTAAGTAAGATATTATTTTGGTATTGAAATGGAACTATCACATTTTTTGGCTATAATTATTGTGGAGAAAGAAGGGGTAAAACTATTTATTAAGGAGGGAGGAGCATAAGTAGCCGGAAGCTTAATGTAATTGTGAAATGAGGAGAATTTGACCTCGAATCATGAAATTTGGGAAACCATTGACGTGATGGTATTTTCTTTAATGAAGTAGCAGTAATATTAAATATGATGCGTTATTGTACAGCTAGCAAGAAAAGGCGTAGAAGAACGCTGGTACGATATTTTTTTAGCAAAATATGATCTTAGGTAGAAGAACGATTCTTTTTTTGCGAAACAAGAAAAACGGACTGTGGGTTTATTTCATGAGTAAATAGGGTACATTTTGTAAATTAACGAAGGAAAGAGCGGATTGCGGGTTCATTTCGTAGAATTTTGAGGTTTCTTTTATAAAATAACTAAAGACGAACTGCGGATTGGTTTCAGCAAATCTTGAGGGGTTTTCACAAAAAGAACCTAATAGGTGCCCTGGACTCCGGGTTGATTTAAGGAAACTGGAGGGGTCTTGTGAAAAAAAATATATGAACTATCTTGGACTGCGGGTTGATTTCTGTTAAATAGAAGGGCTTTTATGCAAAGTTACCAAGGTCTAACACAACGTGGCCCCACTCTCTACACGCGGTTTGGTGCGGGAACCGTATTAAGAGATATGTACTACGAAAGAAATAAAAATGGAAATAGATATGGTTAGATTTAGTTAATCAACAATGAGGGATGACTGTTAAAAGACTTATGCGCACATGAAGAAAGTATAAATAAAAATGTATTAGTTCATGGGTAAAATATTTTCTCTAAGGTAATACCCCCTCAGTTCCAAATTATAAGTCATTCCAACTTTCGTACAGAGTCAAAGTATCTCAACTTTCTTAGAGTAAAAGTGATCTCCTGCTAGCGGCTTCCCACAGTCATTGTCTCAGCGGCTTGTGATGATAGTCAAACATAAGGGTATGTTAAACCTGCGGATTAATGGCCCGATAGTCTAGATTAGGGGCTCAGTGCGCTCGCGCGCACCCTCCAACTGACAAGGGATAACACGGCGGGCCACAGAGGGCCCACTCTGGCCGAAAAAACCTTGTGACAAGGGAATGAGCTAAGGAAGCCTAGAATCCCCGTTATGGCCACCTTTGCTCGGGGGCTGGCACAGCCAAGGAGGTCCCGACCTAGGGGAGTAGTTGTCGAATGAGCACCACCATAGCTTCCCCAACCTTAGCTCGGGGAAAGCCCTAGCCGGCCAACACCACGAATATGCTCTAGAAATTGTCAGGTGCACAGAGCCTAACAGACATGCAGATCAGGAGAGCACCACGCTATGCCAAGCGCACATTTTCTTTCCACTACCGCAAGGCGGTGTCAGCCATTCTCTCGACAGGGTCACACCCAGGGCATGACGCACCACGACAAGGTTCCTTGCGTGCCTGAGTAGCAGGAGTCCCTGAGCCCGCATGGCAGTTCCCCTCCATGGGGGGGATGGAAGTCTAGCGTATCAAGGAAGCCATGAGAAGGCGCACCCAGTGAAGACGCGCTAGCAACAGACTGTGCTGCCAGTCCTCCAAAGAGGTGTTGTCACGAGGTCCCTTGCCTTCAAGGTTCGGTTGAAAAGCCTTAGTTTTCATTTAGCGTTGATGGTATTTCTGAACGTGATCCGCTCTTTGGAAGTATTGCTATTGAGAACATCATCTCTCTTCCAAGCTCTTCACTTGTTTTTTCTGCGTCATGCTTGGTAGTATATGTCCGATGGTGGTTTGGTGATAAAATGGGCTATGTTTATTGTAGTGGTTGTCATGCTATCGTTTCTATAGTGATTGTTTTTGTTTTTGTTTGGTATGCATTAGTGTATGTTATCCTCTATTAATACGCGCACCCGGTCAGCGCCAGGCAGCGGTAGCAACGTCAGGGGGTGGTTGCGGCTTTGTCTGCCCCAACTACAAGACAACGGAGGACTAGCAACGCCGTGGAGAAGAAGACCGAAGCCCAGGGCGAGAAACCCTAGGAAAACCTCAGAGACCACATGGTTTTGTATACCCATTGCCCCCTCCCCCTGGTATATAAGGCCGTGCATGGGCTCCTGTAGAAGGGATCTAAAGTGTTGGTGTTTTGTCAACCGACTAGTGAATTTATACGTGTGTCACGCTACTCTAGGAAGACGATGGTAGCATTTAAAGACACAAGGAATTATATTAGTTCAAGTCGGAGCCCTACGTCTAGTCTCAAAGATGGTTCAAGTTCGTGTTCCTCGGTTGAATGCTCTGAAGTTCTTACAATGGGGTGTGTAAGCTAAGGGAAAGAGGTAGGAGGAATGAGGTGAACGAATGCCTGAATGAAATCTCGAGAGTTTGTCCCCTTGGATGGGAGGCCTGGCCGCCCTTATATAGAGTTTGGGGGCCAGGTTACATAAAGAGAGAGGGGTTTCTCCCAATCGAGTGGTTGTGAGCCCGAGGGAGGGAGAAACTAGTAAACTTGGCCTGCAAGCATGCCTGTCTTGTCCTGGTGTCATTGCACGTTCTAATATGGTCATCGTCGTGGTCTCGCTCCCACGTCGCGGCGTGATGCTACATTGTTGGTCATGACGGCACTGTTGGCACGATGGTGGTTCACCAACTGTCTTGCGCGACGTGGTCTTGCCGTGGCCTTCGTCATCGTCTCCTATTCTCCTGGGGTGTCGTGGGGACCGTACGGGAGCAAGTAGCCGCTCCCAGGTCGTTGGTCGCCTTTGCTAGTCGTGATGCTGGTGGCCTCGACCCTGGACTGCGAGGTCGAGGTCCCTAGTGGCTTGACCGGTCTTAAAAGTCAAGGCCGAGGTCGTGCACCCCATCCCACGATGGGTGTTGCCGTACGCTCGTCTTATCGGGCTGGATTTGGATGGTGCGGTGTCGTACTGGTCATCACCGTCTGGTGGTGTTGTCTTGTCTGCACAGGGGTGCGCAGGGTGGCGTCTGCCCCGAGATGGCTGTCTCTTCAGTCCTGGCGGAGTGAGTGGAGCATGCCTGTCTCCGTCAGAGCAGGTGTACTTGACCGCGTCCGGCCTCTCCTTATCTCTCCCCAGGGGTCAAGATGGGGGAGAGGTCGAGCGCGGCTGCGTAGCGTGTAGTGGAAGGAGAAAGGAGAGGTCGTGGCGGACCACTTGTCTCGTTGTGAAACTCAAATGGGCCACGGTTGCTAGGCCTTTGCTGGTTTGGGCCGCCCGAGCGACTAACTAACTGATGTCTTGAGATACCCGGGGTATCACGACCCCGACAAAAAAGAACAGACTGGTCGAACCGAGGATCAACCGATCGGTCCTAGTAGATCAAACTCTAGACTAGCATAGCTCTACCCCCTACATCTCTCTCTCTCTCTCTCTCTCTCTCTCTCTCTCTTTCTCCATTGTAAAAACTCGATTGAGTATTCCTTAACACGAAGAACACCATTGCTTGACGTAGGGCTTAGGTGCTCGAACCAGGATAAACGCCTTGTGTTTTGAGTGCTTAAGCTGCCGAAGGCACACACATCAACCCACGTTGAACAACCCGATTATTGTTGCGGATTTGAACCCACGACAACCTGTCTTGTATAGCGATGGCAAGTTCTATGTTGCTTCGGTGACCCACATTGTGCTTTTGGTGTGATGGTTTAGGAGGTACGGGATTTTCACATGAATGCCCTGCTCGGCTCCCTATCGCGACCAACAATAGTGACGTCTTTGGCGCCACGCTGCTTGTCGGAGGTGTTGTCACGAGGTCCCCCGCCTCCAAGGTTCGGTTGAAAAGCCTTGGGTTTCATTTAGCGTTGACGGTATTTGCGAACGTCATCCCCTCTTTGGAGGTATCGCTATTGAGAACATCCTCTCTCTCTCTCTCCCAAGCTCTTCACTTGTTTTTCTGCGTCATGCTTGGTAGTATATGTCCGATGGTGGTTTGGTGATAAAGTGGGCTATGTTTATTGTAGTGGTTGTCATGCTGTCGTTTCTACAGTGATTGTGTTTTGTTTTTGTTTGGTATGCGTTAGTGTACGTTATCCTCTATTAATACATGCCTTACATTTTTTGTAGCCATGGCCTTTCACAGAGAGAAAAGTCTACAGCGGAGGTTAATTAAAAGGCTAAACAGCTAATGTGCGCGAGTCCTCGAGACGAAATAAAGATAACATTAGTTTACTTGTCCTGATACATGCTCTAACAATCGCTAATGGTACATATTAAGCCTAATAGTGTTTCAACTGAATTAGTAAGTGCCTAAGCTCAGGCAAGGAAACTCTCCCAGGCTGCACCTACCATCAGCTTAGCATTTTAGGAAAAAAAAATTGGGTGGGCGACGGGAGCACCGACGCGCCCGTGCACCCCCCTGCCGGATAGTTGCCACGTGAACCTAGACGCGAACGTGCGGCCGCAGAAGTTACTCCAAATCTGCATGCAGCCATCCAAACCGGCGCGAGGACTGGGCTCTAAATCCAGATGCGGCGTAAGTACTGGGCGTCGTTCACAGGTGCCATGCGATCGCGTCTGGGTCCACATGGCAACCATCGGGCAGGGGGCGCACGGGCGCATCGGTGCTCCCGTCGTCCACCCAATTTTTTCCCCATTTTTATTATTGTTATTATTATTATTATTATCATCTGAACTTCAACCAAAACGCTGCGGGCTGCGCCCCCGGAATGGCAGTCAGGAGTGAAGGAGATCTTCAGATTATTCTGTGATCTTCTGCTCCCAAGCTGTCAGTACGAAGAAACGGCTAGAACCTGCATGTCACATGATTCAGTGTCCCGTGGAAAAGCGAAACATGGGAAGACACGCCCGCTTATTCTGCTCTGAAGTTAACTTTTCATCTCAAAATTGCCCAAGCAATACGATCATGTATCCTCTATTCCTCCAGCAGTCCAGCTCCATTAAAGAAAATTAAGTTTTGATCCAACTGAAAAGTTTTGATCTCTCAATATGAGTGGAGCATGGACTCTGAGATGTTCTACTTTATGTGCCCAAACAGAGGTGATCAGAACTTACACCATATATCTGAAGAGCACCGTGTGCCTGTTGTTTGCCTGACCATATATGAAACTCCTCATTATAATTTGCTTTGGCCCCTTTAAGTGTAATCACAAGATCCCCGTTTCAGGTAGTTGCAGATGGCCTTTTTAGTTCTTATGGTTGAGCACAGTGTCGTGGTCACTTTCAGTCTCATAGCTGATGATCTATTGGGACGCCAGTTTCCACATCGATCGTACACCCGTTTTGCTTATAAGTTGTATCGATGGATACCTTAACGTTTGTGACCAGAAGCTGTGAGAGATCACCATGGCATCCGGTGCTTCACGAAATGTCAGGTGAGTGCCTCTTCCCGCGCGATTAAATCCCAAACCTCTTCTCAGGTTAAACTTTATGTCTAGTTTAACATTTCAATAAGTTAGGTTACATGTTACAACTGCAACTTAATTAGGATAGCTTCCACTACAGTTAAAATGTCCACTTTCATCAGATATAATAACTGAAAAGCCACGTTACTGAACAAAGGATTCAGCAGGATCAATGTTTATAACGAAAGCCATGCTTCTCTGCGAAATTTCAGGTTTCAGAACGAGATCGAGGTTCAGAGCTTCAGAACAAGCCCTCTGCTGCAGAACCTCAGCAGCAGAAAGCACGGCAAAGCTCACGATCCCAGGAAATGCCGGCAGGGTTTCCGCGGCGGCTGCCTGGAGAAGGCGTGCCGGAACCCGACGCTGAAGGACAGGGTGCTCTCGCGCGCCTTCTCGGAGGAGCTGGAGTCCCTGATGCACGCCGGCAGCGGCAGCCACCTCTTCTTCGACCCGCGCGGGCACCTGATCCACCTGTGGAACAAGATCTTCCTGTCCGCCTGCCTGCTGTCGCTGTTCGTGGACCCGCTGTTCCTGTACCTGACGGGCACGCAGCGGAGCAACGTGTGCATCGAGTTCAGGTACTCGCTGGCGCTCACGCTCTCCATGATCCGCTCGCTGCTGGACCTCTTCTACGCCGCGCACATCCTGTTCCGCTTCCGCACCGCCTTCATCGCGCCGTCTTCGCGCGTGTTCGGGCGGGGCGAGCTCGTCATCCAGCCCTACAAGATCGCCAGGCGGTACCTTGGCCGGACGTTCTGGTTCGACCTCGTCACCGCGCTGCCCCTGCCGCAGGTTGGTCAGCCCAGGCAGCTAGCCGCCATTGATGTCTGTCTGTCAGTTGCAAGAACTGAAAGCTTTGGAAGATATGCATGCATGCCCAGCTATACTATCGATCGGTTTGGTTTGTCATGCATGCAGTTGGTGATCTGGATCGTTATACCGAAGCTGAATGAGTCCCCGACGGCGAACAGGAAGAGCATCCTCCGGTTCAGCATCATCTTCCAGTACCTCCCGCGGCTGTTCCAGATCTTCCCGCTCTCGAGCCAGATCGTCATGGCGACGGGCTTCATGGCGGAGACGGCGTGGGCCTGCGCCGCGTACAACCTGATCCTCTACATGCTCGCAAGCCACGTACGTACTTCAATTCGATCGCCTCTATATATCTCTGCTCGTCCTTTCAGACTTCTTTTGCGTTGATAGAAAGATGCTGATTTGATTTTCTTTTCTTTTTGGACGACGGAACCGGACGAGTATGTACAGGTGCTGGGAGCGCTGTGGTATCTCTTCTCGGTGCAGAGGCAGGAGGCGTGCTGGAGGGAGGCGTGCCTTCTCGAGAGCCCGACGTGCCAGACCATGTTCTTCGACTGCAAGGCGTTGAGCAGCAACAGGACCATCTGGTATGAGCTGAGCAACATCACAAGCCTGTGCACGCCGGGCAACGGGTTCTACTCGTTCGGCATCTACGAGGAGGCGCTGCAAGTCAAGCTCACGTCGTCGTCCTTCACCCAGAAGTACTTCTACTGCTTCTGGTGGGGACTCAAGAACCTGAGGTAAGCAGGAACGAAGCCAGGATCTCTTAAGCAAGCTGAGGTTAATTTACTGCTAACTTGCGTTTCAATAAATGGACGTACAGCTGCTTAGGACAGAATCTGTCGACGAGCTTGTTCATCGGTGAAATAACCTTCGCGATCGTCATCGGCGTTCTTGGGTTGGTGCTGTTTGCCCTGCTCATCGGCAACATGCAAGTAAGCCAGTAACTCTGCTCTGCAGAGGCCAAAATCCGTGGCGACTAAGGATCTCTGTGAATGATCTGACATGTCTTGTTCTGCGTGGTCGATGAATAACAACACAACAGTCTTATCTCCAAGCAACGATGGTGCGGCTGGAGGAGTGGCGGACGAAGCGGACGGACATGGAGCGGTGGATGCACCACCGTCAGATCCCCCAGCCGCTGAAGCAGTGCGTGAGGAGGTACCACCAGTACCAGTGGGTGGCCACGCACGGCGTCGACGAGGAGGCCCTGCTCCAGGACCTCCCCATGGACATCCGCCGCGACATCAAGCGCCACCTCTGCCTGGACCTCGTCCGGAGGGTGCCCCTGTTCGACGAGATGGACGAGCAGATGCTGGAGGCGATCTGCGAGCGGCTGAGGCCGGCGCTGTACACGCGCGGCACGCGGCTGGTGCGGGAGCTGGACCCCGTCGACTCCATGCTCTTCATCATCCGGGGCTACCTCGACTCGTACACGACGCAGGGCGGGCGGACCGGCTTCTTCAACTCGTGCCGCATCGGCGCCGGGGAGTTCTGCGGGGAGGAGCTCCTGACGTGGGCGCTGGACCCGCGGCCCTCGGCGAAGCTGCCGCTGTCCACCCGGACCGTGCGCGCCGTGTCCGAGGTCGAGGCGTTCGCGCTCGTGGCCGACGACCTCGGCTTCGTGGCGTCGCTGTTCCGCCGCCTGCACAGCGCGCGCATCCGCCACAGGTTCCGCTTCTACTCGCACCAGTGGCGCACGTGGGCCGCCTGCTTCATCCAGGCCGCCTGGCGCCGGCACAAGCGGCGCCGCGCGTCCGTGGAGCTCAGGGTGCGCGAGGGCGGCGAGGTGCGGACCGGGGGCAGCTTGAGGCGGTCCCGCCGACACAGCGTCGACGGCAAGGCGTCGATTAAGAAGCCCATGGAACCGGACTTCACGGTGGAAGAAGAGGACTGATCAACGAATGTTCACCTAGCTAGCAACTTCTTTTTTCTTCCCTAACAGTATACAGATGCATATATGCTTGCATAAATGAGAAAACTAGTTCGTCTTCGTTAAATTACCATTCTCATCGTGTGTTTTGCAAAATTGCCATGCAATACATCAATCACCCTGTTCGCTGGTTCGTGCTGGTGTTGGTGCTGGTGCTGCTTTGGGCTGGCTAGTGCTGGGTTTTTTAGAGAAAAATACTGTTGGTTGTCTGAATAAGCCTGGTTGAAACCAACGACAGGTGAATACCTATAAAAATATAACACCAAAAGGACCAAGGAGGCAAGGACAGAACCCAGCTTGAGCTGGTTTCAGAATCGACCTGGACAGATTTTTCTATGAAGGCACCGGACGGTCCATTATGTACAATTCATCATCCGGACTGTCAGTTTTTTTCCCGATCTGCACTTAACATGTCTCAAGATTGTCCGACATTTGTAATTTGGTCACCATCGGACCATCCGGTACACGTGTTTCATCTTCCACGTTCTTGTGTCGCTCGTTGATTGTTCGGCGTGTGTAGTTTTTGTCGCTGGACTGTCCAATGAATGAATTTCATCTTTGTGTGTTCTAACGCTGTGTGAAATTTCCAGGTGCATACATTTTCTCACCGACAGACCATTCGATGCATGTTTTTATTTTGTCTTATAGCCCAAATTTACTGTCAATGGTGTGAAAGCCATAAGAACCTATCTTAGTTTTGTTTGTCTTTATAGTTTTCAGGGCTAGCGTACGGATGAAGTAGTATAGCACTACCTCCGTCGATAAAAGAATGCAACTATGATATCTATGTCTGTAAAAATAATTTAAGTTTAACCAAGTTTAGAGTAAATAGTATTCACGTTTATGTCTCCAAATCGGTTTATTACGAAAATATATTCCATAATAATTAATCTAATAATATTTATTTTGTATCATGAATGTTATTATTATTTTATATAATTTTGATCAAATTTGAAAGCATTTGATTTCTTAAAAAGCGAGGATCACGTTTTTTTCTGGGGGAGTAGATTAAGGTTTATTTCTTTAAATTTTTTAGAGTCCAAGCAAATCCTCTCTTTAGGCATATCGATTCTTTCAACATGATACATGATGCCAAATTCTGAAGCCCGAGCTCTGGGCAAGAAAAGAAGCCTGATCCCAGCCGAAGTGTTGTTTAGTTCCCCAAATTCCCAACTTTGGCATTATGCAAAAAAAAGATTCCCCGTCACATCAAACTTGCGGTACATGTATGGAGTACTAAATGTAGATGAAATCAAAAACTAATTGCACAGTTTGGTTGAACTTTACGAGACGAATCTTTTGAGCCTAATTAGTCAATGTTTGGACAATAATTCATAAATACAAACGAAATTGCTACAGTGTTTACCGTCACATCAAACACTGTGCAAATGCCGATTCCGGCCGAACTAAACAAGGCCCGAAGTGGTTGTCGGGCCAGGCTAGGTGCCCTTTTCCAGTCTAGGCTTGGGAGGGTATAGGACGGGGCTTCTCATGAACAGTTCAGTACATGTAGGGCAAAAGTCCAATTGATCTCCTCCAACTATCGTCCAATTTTCCTCTCTAAACTATAAAATCAGTTTTATAACCTTTCTTAATTTTTAAAACCCTTTGTTTTTCACATTCAATGGTTTTAATAGTAGTTTTGCTGACGTGGCACTATGTTACATGGGTAAATCAGACCCAGTTAAAAGAGTTAAATCGGACTAGAAATATTTGAAAAATATAAAAAAAATCTTAAAAATAAAATTTTAAAAATAATCTAGATATTTTAAATGGAAAAAAGAATGCCGTTAAAGTCCTAAAATTTGGTTTAATCTTAGAAAATTTATAGAATTTCTTTACCTCAAAAAATTATGAAACAAGTTTCACATTTTCCTAAAATCATGCTCCATCCTATAGTGCCTAGCTTGAATTTGTTTGAATCTTGATGGACCCATTTTGGTGCTTATTTTCAGTAAAAGCTCTTGTTATCTATTATAATTAGTATATGCTAATCATCCGACTACATAGAAGCGTCAGGGGAGCGTCGTTAGGACTACGTATGTGCGGCAGGGTGGGTGCTAATTTCCTGCCTTGGATAGTTTTTCAAAGTAGCGTGTTAGTCTGCGTGGCTGCATGCACCCCGCCGCGCATACGGTCCTAACGACACTCCATTTGCGTTTCTATGTGATTAATTTTAAAGATAAAGCGACCTTCTAATAGCAAATAAGCACCAAAATGAGTCCATCATATTCAAACAATTTCAATCTAGGGACCATAAGATAGAGCATGATTTTAGAAAACAAACCTTAAAGTAGTTTTAGAATTTTTCGAGTTAAAACAATTTTTCTAAGATAAAACCAAATTTTAAGATTTTTAATTTCATATTTTTTCCATGTAAAAATATTTGGATTTTTTTGAAATTTTATTTTTGTGATTTTTTGTATATTATTTTGAGAAAAATATAGTCCATTTTACCTCCCTGAATTTTTTAACTTGGTCTGATTTACCTCCTCTGACGTGGCGTCATATCGGCAAAACCACTACGAAAACCGTCGAATGTGCAAAAAACAAATGATTTAAAAGTTGAGGGAGGTTAAAAAACTAGTTTTATAGTTTAGAGAGAAAAATCAGACAACCATGATAGTTTAGAAAGATAAGTTGAACTTTTTTCTACATGAAAACATGTTGAGCATTTGCTTTTACTGCAAGAGTGAGGTGCCTCCTAAATTTTAGTCGTTGTCCCATCGAATATTTGAACACATGCATGGAGTATTAAATATAGACTAATTACGGAACTAATTGCATAGTTTACGAGATGAATCTTTTAAGCCTAATTAGTCTATGATTTGACAACGTTGTGCTACAGTAACATGTGCTAATGGCGGATTAATTAGGCTTAAAAATTCGTCTCATGGAGTAATGAAGGATTAAGTAATTGGTTTTTTTTATTAGTATCAAACACTTCATACAACATCCTTTCGATACATCTAAATTTTAGTCACGGGATCAAACACCACCTAAATCAGTTCCAAGGACGGACTGGGGAAGCTCTGTACATCACGGCTCCCGAGCGCTATAAAATTAGGCATGTCGTCTCAGCACCTTGGTCAGCAGTCTGTGTGTCAGTTCATGCCCATGGAGATTTTTTTTAATTTTAATACTTTTTGATAACTAATTTTAAATCTAACATTGTAATTTTTTTTTAAAACTAACACTTTTGGCCGCGCTTATTGCCCTGGCGCGGCCAAATGCCTGTGCCGCGCTATGCATGGTGGCGCGGTAGCGGTCTGACGTGGCGACGAACGGTTTCGGTGACCGTTGACGTGGCAGCTCTTGCCGCGCCACCATGTATGGCACGGCAGTGCCGCGCCCTGATCCGTGGCGCGGCAGAGCCGAATAAATATCGCGCCCAGTCCTGCCTACCCGAGCAGCAAGCCCGCCTGGCTGCCGCGCCCGCCGCCCGCCCAGCGGTACCTGAACGGTTTAATCCGAACGCGTCGCGCCGATAGTGGGAGTTATTCTAAGTATTGCTTGACGTAAAATCAATAGTAGATTTGTTTCTGTCTTTTGTTGAATTTTTGTCACGGCTGAATAGAGAATTTGATAAGCCAATGATTTGTTTTCTGTCTTTCATAATACGGTTAACCACCATTTTAACTAATTGATTATGAAAAACTGCCACCGGCGTCGAGATACGCCGGGACTACCGGTTCCCGAACTAGTTGGTACTTAATCTCGCCGGCAGTGCTGCCGCGACGCAAAGAAATGAATATGAAACAAATAAATGAAGTTCGTGCGCAAGTTGACAAGTTGCCACATAACATTTTCATTGTTTTGACATAAGTTTGACATAACATAACCAAATAACCCCGCAAATTTCGGACCCCAATATTCGTTTGACCTAACAAACTAAGACCCAGGAGTGTAAGGATCCCTCGGACGCCTTTGTCTCTTTGGATTTGTTGGCAACACATTGGGAGTGTAGCCAACGTCGGTATGGTCGCGTCGACGGTGCGTACGGCTCGTACCCTGTAAGTATATGATACGCACGATTACTTATAATTTTTTATGATCGTTAGTTCATGGAGCCTACGTATTTAAATAAACTATCTTTGATAGTACCTGTGAGGCTCCTTGGGTACCAAGCGGGGCACCACCTAGTTGAGACATGCCGATCTCGTCCTGCGGCCAATCGTCCCACTGGTCGTGCCCTCTGCGGAAGCCCGGGGGGTCGTCGTCATCGTCGTCCTCGGTTGTAGGGTCCTTCCCAGCGCAATGATGTTGTGGTGTACGCACCGCGAAAGTGGCACCTGTCATCGGCTGAGAAGAGCCGGCTGGTGTCCTCAAAGAGGCTAAAGACGTGCCACCCGACCACGCCGGGAGTGTCGGTTCCTCATAAGGAGTGTCCATGCAGCTCAGCTTCCGAGCCAGCTTCCTGCAGCTCTTCTTCACCTTCTGCATAAATAGGCGTTAAAGTTAGTGCATTATCCAAACACATATACACTAAAGAAACATTTTCGGAACGGATAAGTTTATGTTACCTCCACAAAAGCCACGAGAACGCCTGGCCCCTGACCTCTAGACTCGTGAAGCCGGAACGCTGCTTCGTTGGACAGCCTTGACAATTGTGTCGTCTAGGTACAGAAACGCGGTTGGACAGTTTTAGTACACATACTTAATACCAAAAGGATAACAAATTATACCATTCAAGTATATTACCACGTATCTTTGAAGCGGGGCTCTCTCTAGCTGTGTGTCCTCTCTAGTGGTAACGTTGTACACATCTTCGATGACATATTCCTCCGAGTCCTCGTCAATCGCCACGTCAGTGTACGAAGGCTTAATATGTGTCCTCGTAGACCTGTGAAGCTACCGCAGGTACTCGTCGAAGGTGTGCTTGTCGTTGAAAGGATCAAGATGCCCAAGAGAAGGGGTGAATTTGGCTAATTAAAAAATTCTTTGTAATAATTAAGTCCTAAGAT